GGGTTTCCTGGAGAAGGTGCTGTACTGACAGCAGCCAAACGGTGTACTAGGAGAGCATCTGTCTCCACAGACGTGGGTTCCCTGCAGCACACTACCTGCTGAGGATTGAGTTGGGGAAGCTCTTCCCAGCCATGGCTCTTTGTGGTTCCTGGAGTCTTCCGCTGCTTGTCTGGCATGTTCAGCTTAACGTGAGATGTCAGACTGTGTGCTTTTTATTGAACATTGGAGAGAAAGCTCTGTGCAAAATTCCAGGACACAAAAGGATTCTGCAGGTGGAGGCATGAATTGGGTTTCTCCCAGGTACATTGAAGGACTTGTAATTTGAGCCTAGAATGGTAAAGGTGAAGGGTGTGTCATCACTCCACAGTGCCAGAGGGGCTTATAACCTCAGAACCTCTACCAGTTATTAGTACTTATTGAAACTTAGCATGTGCCAGGCATGATATTAAGTACATTATGTGCATCGTAAGAGCTGCTTGGAAGTCTTTAAGTCCAGCATCCGAGCCCACAGAGGATTTCTGTTGACTGCTTTTTGCTTTTCTTGGGTATAGGTCACACTTTCCAGTTTCTTTGCGTGCCTCGTAATTTTTTGTTGAAAGCTGGCCATTTTCAATAATATAAAATTTCTTCTAAATTCTGCTCTTCTCCCAGTTACTTGGTAACTTATCTGAACTAGGGTTATGGAGTCTGGCTACCCCACGTTGTGAGACTGCTGCCATCTCTTTTCAGTTTGTTTCACTCTTGTTTTTATTATAAGTTGTGGTTTCTCAAGAGTTGCCCCTGTGTCAGCACAGCTTAGTGGTCAGGAGAGGTTGTGGTCAAACATTCTGAATCTGTGAAGCTCTTATCTAATCCTTACGGTACTCTGTGTGGGTTGGAAAATGGATTCGACATTCAGGCACTTACAGTGTGCCACAGATCTTACTTTCTGTGTGGCTCTTTCACGTGTTTTCTGCCTGTGCACGTGGCCTTATATTTAGGTAGGGTTATATACATGCCTAAGGCTCTCTCAGTCCCTCCCGTGCATGCATGTAGCCTTCCAGATTGCCAGGAGTCTATGGGAGGTTCTCAAGGCCCACTATGACTGTCCTATTCCCTATAGCTCCTTGTTATGGGACCTGGCTAGTCACTGGCCCATTGCTTGCCCCTCTCAGGGTAACAGTCTTAGGCTGGCTGTGCCATTGACTTTCTCCATTTGTTTGCTGCCAGGAGCACTACTGCTTCTGACAGTGTTCCTGGGTGTGGCATTTCCCCTTGCTTTGATCCTTGTAAGTGAACCCCTTCTGGCAGCAAAGTGGATCGTTTTCACAGCTTGCCTCGCCCTGGTAGGACCTCTGCAGTGACAGAGCTTAGTGGGGAGTGGAAGGGTCTTGGCCATGATTGCCATAAACTCCCACTCTTCTTAAAGGCCCAGTAGTTTCTCTTGAATAAATGTTTCTCAGTTTGCTGCATCCCCTTGCTCAATTTCCAGAGTATCAAAGTTGTCGTTTTTGAAAACTGTATCCATTTCTGTCATTGTTTTGCGGGGAGAGGATTTGTCAAGCTCCTTGTACTGACATTCTGGAAGTCTCACTCCTACACACTGCTTTCGTGGTCTCATTAAACCGCCCCCACATCCTTGTAGCATAGGCGTGACTACTCCTAGTCTCGAATAGGGCACCAAGAGGACCCGAGAGGAGGAGCGGCGTGCTCAGGGTCCCACAGCTAGCGAAAGCTGGAGCTGTCCTGGATCGCAGCATCCGAGGGCAGAGAACAGGCTGAGTTCTCTGATTCCCTGGGGTTGTGTCATGTGATGTTTGACAAGTCCTTTCATTGCACTCGACCTCACTTTCTTTCTCTATAAAATGGGCATAAAACTTCCTAAGATAGTCACAGAGGTTTGAAAATTAGATGAGTTATGGGTAAAGCACTCAGAGCAGTGCTCAGACCCCAAAACACAAGGGAAAACTCTTTTTTTGGAAGCAAAATGGCCAACATTTTACTCAGCCTTCCATGCCGAGAGGTTTTACCTCAACTGTCGGGACAATTCAGATGGGTTAGCTGATTGCATAAAGATGCGGAACAAGGAAGAAATTTCTTACAGTCACCTGGATTTTTGCCCTGTCATCCACCAACTGGCTGTTGGGCAGTGATTATATTAGGTAGAAACAAATGAAATCACTGGTATTTCACCTAAGCAAGTGACAATTTCATATGACTCAATCTAAGAGTAATATTAATGTTGATAATGAGAGCAGCTGAGTACAGAGTCACTGAGAAAGTCCTTTTCATGTACATATCCTCAGTTAATTGTCCCAGCCCCTGTACCGTCTAGGCAGGGAATGTTAGCATCATTTTGCAGGTGAGGAAAATGAGGGTCAGAAGCACAGTTCAGTGCCCGCAGCCACCTGTTCACTCTGTCACTTGGACCTAAGCGTCCTTATCTGTACAGTGAGGTCAACAGGACAGAATATCTCCGTGAGGCCTAATGTGCTTGGCTACACAGACTTCTAAAGGGCTCTAAGAAAGCAGGGAGACGGAGAAGAATCCCTGGATCTTGTGGGGCCGGTTGTGTGTTTTGGCCGTGTTTGGGGTACACCTGAGAAATGGAAGCTTAGTCCGCATTCTGCAGCACCACCGCCATCTTATCCAAGAGAGAGGCCGATAGGACCAGCTCCGGGACATCAGGACAGGCTCAGGATGTTTACTCAGTGCCTACTGTATGCAGCTATTTTGTGAAGCCCTCCACAAGCACAGCCACAGAGTCTTCCATCATAGCTGCCATTATTTCCCCCCATTTTTCTGAAGAGGAGCCTGCAGCTCAGAGTAAAATGCTTGTCCAGGGTCACACAGTTCGTGAGTGGTTAAACGAGAATCTCAGTCCAGGTGGATCTAACTCCACATCCTGATTTTTTCCTCCCACACGTGGGCTCTGGGCGTTAACTCCAAAGTAGGTTAGAAAATTGTCACCAGCTGTAGGCTTCATTTCTTTTCCATCCGTCCATCTTGTTTTCAGCCAATGTTTATTTTGTTTTCTTCTTGTGCAGAGAGAGAAAAAATGTTGTAGTCTGGATATGTTGGTTTTATGCATTCTGCTGCCTATAGCTCCCTTGGAACATTTTTGGCTAAAATGTAATAAGTGAAACCACTGAATTTTTGGAGGGGGCGCTATGGAATGTTCCTCTCAGAGGTCAGAGGAGGAAACTTCCCCCCTTACAGCCTCAGAGTAGGCTTTTAATAAGCACTTTTTTTTTTTTGTATCTTAGGAAGTTTTCTGTGATGCCGGTGACCCATGGAATTGAAACTCATCTACCAGATTACTCTGTCTCATAACACCTTTTGCTTCTTTGAGTGTCGCAATTGCTTTTCTGACAGCTTATTCTGAAGATAGACTTTGTGATTTCCGGTGAATGGAAGGTCCGTGAGGGGGTGGTGTGAGGGTGCAGCGGGCGGAGAATTGGCAGTCACCAGGGAGCCAGGCACGACCTGCATTCATCTGAGGGTACGGATCTCTGGCAGGCTTCTTTCAGAGCCTGCAGGCCTGGACGACAAGAGGAAAATTCCATTAAATGGCTGGTGCTTTGGCTAAGGCTGCATCCAGGGATCTCTGAGTGAATTTGTTTCTCCTGGAGGGGGTGGCCTTTCTCCACACTCCCCCGCAACCCTGCCCCGCTTCTACCCTCACTGGGTCTCTCTTGCTGGGCGCTCCCTCATTCAGTCGTCATAATTATTGAACTCCTACTGTATGCATAGAAGAGTACCAGGTGCAGTGGAGGAAACAGGTGAATTAAACACAGGCTCTCCCTCCCTAACCTAGGTCAGGAACACAGGGTTAAAGGCCACGCCATTTATTCACATATTTGGGAGAGTGAGGCCGTCTTTGGCACATGTGATGAGAAGGACAGGGTGCTGGGGAGGCTGTCACGGGGGACACAGCAGGTAAATTCCCCAGTAGCCTAGGGCCCTCTGCAGCTGTCTTGGGCCTGGGAAGCAGTCGAGACATAGGTGTTGCAGTGTGGCCCGACATACCTTGGTTTGAGTCTGGTTCGGCCCATGTGTAACTTATAACCTTGGGGAAATGCTTTCATTCTGTGTTTTTAAAATGGTGGTAAAACATAGGTAACATAAAATTTGCCATTTTAACCATTTTTAAGCGTGCAGTTCAGTGGTGTTAAGTGTATTCACACTACTGTGCAGCCGTCACCACCATCCATCTCCTGAATTCCTTCGTCTTGTAAAACTGAAACTCTGTACCCAGTAAACACTAACTCCCCCTCCCCTTCCCCAAAGCCCCTTTCTGTCTCTATGAATTTGGCTGCTCTATGGACCTTATGTAAGTGGAATCACAGTATTTGTCCTTTTGTGTTCGGCTTATTGTACTTGGCATAATGTCCTCAGGGTTCATCCGTGTTGTAGCATGTGTCAGAATTTCCTTCCCTTTCAAAGCTGATTAATATTCCGTTGGGCGTATACACCACATTTTCTTTATCCATCCATCTGTTGATGGACACTTGGGTTACTTCTACCTTTTGGCTACTGTGAATGATACTGGCATGAATATGAGTGCGTGCGAGTATCTGTTCAGGTCCCTGCTTTCACTTTTTTGGGTATATATCCAGAAGTGGAATTTCTAGATCATATAGTAACTGCATGTTTAATTTTTCGAGGAACTGCCATGGTGTTTTCCGTAGCAGACACATCCTCCATTTAGTTTTGCATCTGTGGTTTTCTCCTCTATGAAATGGGCGTGGTAGTATGACGACCTACCTAGGGTTGCTGTGAGGCTGAAATGAGGTGGTGTCTGTGAAGGTCCCAGCAGAGTGGGCGGCACACAGTAGGTGCCCAGTACGTGCTCATCCTCTACACTTACCTGGGGAGGTGGAGCTCTGTTAGCTCACAGACACGTGGGGTCACCCTCTCTCTCCCGGTGTATCCCTCAGCCATGCAGCCAGCTGGCCTTCCACTTTGGGAGTCTCCTGCCCTCAGCCTGTCTTCCTCTCTAACTCTCCTCTTTTTCCCAGGCTGTGGCAGAGCTCCTGCAGACCCTGGATCTGGAGAAGAAGACAGTGGCCGTGGGGCACAGCCAGGTGAGTAGAGCTTCTTCCTTTTGCCGTTCTACCCATGACATCAGGGACGCACGTGAGACCTGAGTCTTGTCCTTCCCCAGCATCCACTACTTGTGTGTCTCCTTTCCACCAGACAGGGCTGAACACAGGGCTAAGTGATCTCTGCCCTTGTTATGTAACAAGGCTGTTAAGGCAAAATGTTATAATGTGGGAGGAAATAACATTGGGGAATATCATTTATTAGAGGTAACACTCCCAGGGACCTCAGTGGCCTGGAGAATTAACATCTGGACTTCAGGTAGGACTTTTGGAACCTCGGAAACACCCATCTTCACTCCGAGCCTTGTAACTTTTGCTTTGCAACCAACTGTAACACAACAGCCGTCCTAGCGGATTAGCAGCAGTAAGTGAAAGGAGAGGGCATGAGAAGAAGGTACGTGATTTTAGGGCTGAGAGACGTAGATTTCTCCAAGCTGGTGTTGAGCAAAAACCCTTCCAGAAAAGTTGAAACGTTTAGAGAAGAATTCCATGGAGCCCTAATATGCTCATGCAGCTTGTAAGTTTTCAAGAGGGAAAGTACAGTGTTTGGGGCTCCCCAGATGATCTGACCCTGGAACCCTCGCCCTTTTGTTTTTGTGGAAGATGCATGACCACCTCCCAGAACTAGCGTTCCCTGGGTCATAGTGTGGGGAGTGGGGAACAGAGGTTGGAAACTCAAGGACCAGGAGGAGGGCAGGGCAGTAGGGACAACGTTTAGGAATACAAACTGGAGAGAGAAGAGACCAAGGGACCACCTCCCCACTTAGTTACCTACTGATTGATTAATGGCACCCAGGAAACCTTTGTCAATTAATTGCCTTCCACGTTCAGGTACCCTGTAAAGTGTTGGTGGCATTATTGGCCATTAGTACCTCTTGCAAAGTGAAGTGTGCTGCTCCATCACACCTCTTTCCTCGGAGAGCTCACAGTCATTCACGCTGGTCATTGCCCCCTAGACACACGAGCCTCTCCCCGCAGGCTTCTTGGTCCTTCTACAGCCTGTGGTTGAAGCTGTTAGTCTGCTGTGGTTCCAACCTGATTGATCCTGCTGGGAGCTGGCAGCAACTCTCTGGACATTTCCAGTAGAGGAGATAAACCCCTGGGTTACTGGGCTCCCACCACAAGCCTGGTGCTATGCTAGGCAAATTCATATATTATTCCTCTTTTCCCTCACAGTCTCTCTTGAGATAATTACAGTATCCCTTCTTCACAGATGAGGAAAATGTACCTCTGGGAAGTCAGCCCCTTTTCCAGGTCCTCTAGGGAGCCAGGAGCACAGCTCCCATGGAAACCTGTACTGGTCCAACCCCCAAGTTCTCTTCAATATGCTGTGGGTTCTATTGTTTATTAATGGAAATATACAGCAAATTCTTTACACACAGATGTTTATGGTCTTGAATCAGAGGAATTCTTCTTCAGCTCCAAGAACTTCATCCTTCTAGACCAGTGGTTCTCAAAGTGTGGTCCCTAGACCGGCTGCAGCAGTATCACCCGAGAGCTTCCCGGAAACAGAACTCTCAGGTGCCACCCCAGACCTACTGATTCGGAAACTCTGGGGATGCAACCCTGCAGTCTCGGTTGTAACATGCCCTGTAGGGGATTCCAGTACATGCTCAAGTTTGAGAACTACTGTTTAGATAAATTACTTAGTTATTTCATGAATTTCAAAATCAGTCCCTGTGATCCCATCAACTATTGCAGAGCAGGGAAGAAAACAGCAAGATGAAAAGTCACTATACAAAGTCTCACAGTGGCGAGGCAAGATGTCTACCAGCCAAAAACATCCCCATAATAAAACATTATTATTATTAATACTTGGCATTCACTAAGAAACTGTCCAGAGCAAATCAAGGTCACTGTGCCCTTTGGGAAGCCAGGCAAGGCAATAGACCGAGATCTTTAAGGGCAGATGCAACTCTCGTGCTTTGCAGGGTTCGGCACTTAATAGGTGGGAAGGCTGTGAATAGGGGAAGAGAACAGGCTGACCTGGTCCACACCCAGGCCCCACCACTGCCTAACTGTGTGAATCTTGAGTAAGTGGTTTAGCCTCTCTGAGCCTCAGTTCCCGCATCTGTAAAATGGACCCACTGCTCTCTACCTCCCAAGCTGGCTGTGAGACTCAGTAAATTGTCCTTTAACAGGGGCTGGCTGTCATCATTTGTGGCAGGCATTTGCCAACGGGGTCAGGATGCTTGTCAAACAGGATAGCGTTTTAATGTTTAAAGAATTAAATTCCTCTAATCTGGAAAATTACTAAGAGGCAGGTAGCTAATTCCTCAGCAATACCAGAAAGGAGAGTGGTTGCCATATTAGATTTTTAAACCTTGGCTTGCCTAACTGGCTTCCAGAGATCCCTTAAAGATAGGGATGTTGGGATGTTACACTCTGCGTGGGCCCGATAAGCAGCTGGACCCCTGAAAAGTGAATAATTTAGATTTTTCTTTGTGATTCTCAGCCCCTGGTACCTTATCGAAGCCTGTGCCGAGGGCCATGACATTTATGAAAAAGGTGGGATTCCACATGCCATCGGCCTTCTGGTCGGAGTATGCTCTTAAAAGAAAAAATATCAAGCTGAGATTCAGCAGCGGCGATGACTTACTCCCACTCTGCATATGGTCGTTTCCAATTATCTTTTTAATGAAAGCCTCATACTTAATCAATAACGGTTTTGGCAGCACTCGCTGCCTTTTGTAATGTATGGACTAGCGCTGTCATCACTTTGATCATTGATTTTTTTTTTTATAGCAGCTTTTGGGACTCACTAGCTTGTGAAATTAATGCAGTCATTATTGAAGCAATCTGATAGGTAATGAGTCAATCGTGTGTTTATTTCAATGAGGCTAATTGTCTTGGTGGTCCTGGCTGATAGTGTTCTGTAAAGCGATGGAGGGTTGCGAAACAGAGTTAGCACCGATTGGCTGCTGTGGGATTAGCAGAGTGGTCTTCATTACAGAAAATAGGTTTAAGGGAATGGAGAATCGATTGAGACCCTTTGTTCCACCTGGAATCAAATTGCATTTCAGCCTCAAACTCCCGGTGTTTGGATCATGTGAGCGAGGAAGTGAAGCTTCTTGCCAATGTTGAGAACGGGTACAGGGCGTGGACTTGAGGTTCTGGGTTCGAGTCTCAGCTTTGCTGACCACCAGCAATGTGAACTTGAGTCAGAGACACAGCTTCCTTGAGCTGACAGATTCCTCGTGGGACTGTTCTGCATATTAAAATGGGACATAGGAGAAAGAGCTTTGAAAAATTTAGATGCCATGCAAATGTTAATTACATTCAGTGACAATTGTAGTCTCGTCTGGAGTCAGAGAGAGGGAAATAAATCCCAGTGTTACCACCTGCTGGTGGAGGGTTGTTGGCACATGCCTTTTTTAGCCTTAGTTTCTCCCTCCGTGAAATGGGGGGATTGTTGTAACTACCATGTAAGATTCTGCATGTAAAGTGCTTTGCCTGCATACCAAATGGTTAGTTCAGCTCCAGAACACAGGAGGGCTCCGTCAGTGTTAGCCGTTGATTGATAATGTCATGGATTACTTGACAATGTCACTGATCAAGGTGGAGCTCACCAGTGGCTCCAGAGAAACTGAACACCTTTGGGGCTACAAGCCACATCTGGCAAAGAAACGCACAGGACTGTGCTTAGAAATAAGCGGCACCAAGGCGTCTGAAACGTAACCCTCCCGTCACCGACTCATACATATCCCAGCAGCAGAGCGTCTTTCCTTTGCCTCTGGGGAGGCGACACCAGCTTTAACGACCCCACCGCGTTGGCCGGAGCAGGCCTGGCCCCAGAGCTGCTGGTTCCCTCTGAAAACCCTCCCGTGTTCCCTGCTGTCTCTTGGGGGCAGCCGCGAGGGTGCCGGGGAGGCAGTGATCACCTTGCTGCAGGGGCCCTCATCCACTGTTGGTGCACCAGGGCCTGGAAACTGTGTTTTCCGCTGTGTTCTGCTCGGTGCCTGCACCTCCCGCTGGTGGCACCCGCCAGGCCCCATCCGCTCCTGACCAAGGAGGGCTGCCCGCACTTCCCCCGCATTCTCTGCCCCTCCTCATAAGGCAGGACCAAGTATTTCTGGGGTGGCGCTTGTCTCAGGGCCAACAGCACTTATCAGAAAAGAACGCACACCGAGGACTGACACCAAGCCCATGATTCTGCATGTCCTGGGGTGGGGCCTGGGAATGCGCATTGACCGCCTTCCCTGGGTGATTCCGGTGCACAGAGACGCTTAGGCAGGTCTGTCCTACCAGTGGTTCTCAAATGAGTGTGTGCATGAGTCCCCTGGGGATTAAATGAAAATGCCAGTTCTGACTCCGCAGCTCTGGGGTGGGGCCTGAGATGCTGCGTTTCTAACAAACTCCCAGGAGGTGACAATGACCATGCTAAGGTGCATGGACCACACTCTGAGCATCCAGGGGCCAGAAGAAGGGAAAGAGGAGGCATCAGGAGGCAAGATGCTCTGACCATTTAGACCCCCAGTCAAGGGCAGCTACTGACAGATACTTCGGGTAGGTCTAGGAGAACTGGGGTCTGAGCGGCAGCCCCTCCCACTTGAGGCAGTCTGATTCGGTGGCAGCGAAGTCACCTGCAGCCTTCTCTCCTTCCAGGTCTTCCTCAAGGCGGGCGTGGTCTCCAGGCTGGAGAAGCAGCGGGAGAAGCTGGTGTCTCACAGCATCATCTTGTTGCAGGCGGCTTGCAAGGGCTTTCTGTCTCGTCAGGAGTTCAAGAAGCTGAAGGTGCGGGGGCCCAAGTGCCTTGTGAACCTGGCAGGGGCGCGGGATCGGGGAAAAGCACCATCTGTGCTGGTCTGGGGGCTGTAATCCCTGCTTCTCATGCTTCCTCTTGTGCACGAATCTCCAGTGGGATGTTAACGTGTGGATTCTGGTCCAGTGGGTCTGGGGTGAGCACAGGATCTGCCCGTCTCCCATGACGGTGCCAGTGCGGCTGGTCCACAGACCCACCCCGAGTGGTCAGACTTTAATAGACACTTTGTAAGAATGATATGATTGTTCTGGGACACTGACATCAAATCACCACCGATGTTAGCCTTGGTCAGGATATCCACGAGGTTGTCCAAGCCCTCCTGGGTGGGAAATGGTTTCAACCGGTCCCATCTCTGGAGAACTTGGCTTTCATGGGTCAGCAGAGAGCACGTGGGCAGGACCTGGCCACAGAGGCCTTTGGGACCAAAGGGCAAGGTCAGAGTCCTCAGTCCTGAACCACCCTGGCCCACCATCCTCAGACGTATCCGGAGACTGAGTCTCCTTTCTGTAGCCTGCATGATGGAGAAAGGCAGCACGGCTCTGGAGACAAACAGGAAGCGTGTTCGAATCCCATCTGTACCACATAGTACCTGAGTGGAGGTGACATGAGATAATGTGCACGTAGTACAGTACGTGGCTCGTCGTTACTGCTCGGTAAATACCAGCTGTCATTGCCTTAGTGTTGTCGTTGTTAATTACTGCCACCAGAATGAGTCTCAGCGCACATGCCTCCAGCTCATGTCAATTGGTAAATTCCCTTGTACGTACTTGGTAAGAACAGAAAAAGGCAAGAACATTAATAGTGAAAATACTGTAGGCAGTTTTACCAGCGCACTGCACTTAGGTAGTTTATGCCTTGGGATGATTTGAAATAGAGGTTAATTAAGCGCCTGGGCTGTGTCTGCAGCCAGACTGCAGGGGTTCATATCCTAACACTGCCACTGAGAAGCTGTGTGGCACTGGGCACGTGACTGTACCTCTCTGTGCCTCAGTTTTCCCATCTGAAATGGAGATAATAACAACACCTACCTTCACAGGGCTGTAGTGAGGACTAAGCTGGTGCGTGTAAGATGCTCTGGGCAGTGTATGGCCCGTAGGAGGCGCTGTGCCAGCTGTACGAGCCTTGGCTGTTGTGATGGTGGCAAAGGGAAAGGACCTCTGGCTTCTTAGTCAGCTTGATTCCCACCTATGGTAAGAATGCACTAGGTCAGCGGTTCTCAAAGTGTGGTGCCCGGACCTGCATTGTGAGTAATGCAGGTTCTCGGGCCCCACCCCAGACTCACTGAATCCGACCCTCTGGGGTAGAGCCCAGCCGTCTGTGTTTTAACAAGCGTTCCAGGAGATTCCGATGCACACTGAAGAGTGGGAAGCATGGAATTTGTGTTTAAATGGGCTTAAAATAATATCCCTTCCTTAAATATCAACTAGCGACATAATCGTGGCCACTGTTTCTTGCGGGCAGTGTCAGGGATTTTTGAGGATAGTTTTTGCCTTGCACAGTGACTTTTGAGCCTGATCCCCATGTAAGAGGTGACCCTGTTGTTTTATATAATATTTTCTACTCCTTGTCCTATTATTATTATTATTATTAGGTTATGCAAGATTAAACTGTGGCCTAATATTGATGCCAGGAGCCTGACTCCATGAAAGGAAGGTTGTTTTTTTTTTAAGTTTACCCAATCCCTTCCACTAGGATAAACCCATTTCCTGAACCCCCTTTGCCACCCTCTGCCTCCTTCAACTGGGCTGGGAAAGGCCCTTCAGTTTCCACTCTCCCTCCCCTGCAGATTCACCGGCTGGCTGCCCAGTGCATCCAGAAGAATGTGGCTGTGTTCCTGGCGGTCAAGGACTGGCCGTGGTGGCAGCTCCTGGGTTCCCTTCGGCCCCTGCTGAGTGCCACCATCGGGGAGGAGCAGCTCCGCGCCAAGGAGGTGGGTGCACGGGGCAGGCAGGGCGCCTCCCTCCGCCCCGCCCCTTAGTGTTTGCATCCAGACCCGGTGCCCCACCCCTTGAAATCCTTCATCTGGGAATGCTCCGCCAACAGCCCTCGCTGCCCCCTTGCAGATATCCCTCTGCTCCCTTCGACACAGACCTCCCTCCACCATGTGGCCAGCTCCTCTGTGGGCTAGTGGGTGCTGGTCAGAGGCGCCATCACCACCCCGGGGGCGTGCAAACGCTCGCTTACTGCTCATCCGGGAGACTCAAGGGGAGAGTTTTTGAGTCCTTTATCTTCTTATCTCTCCGGGGGCACTCCCCTTACTCTCCCTTCTACCCTGTTAGCACCTGTTATAGATTATATTATATCTATAGTTATAGATAACTGCTCTGATTGGTTTCTGATTTATCCTGCCTGTTGGTCCTTTTTGCAAAAATTAGCAAATACAGGCATTTCTCAGAGATAGTGCAGGTTCAGTTCCAGACCACCGAGATAAAGTGGGTATCACAGTAAAGTGAGTCACGTGAATTTGGTGGCTTCCCAGAGCCTACAAAAGTTGACACTATACTTTAGTCTATTAAGTGTGCAATAGCATTCTGTCTAAAAAAACAGCGTACGTACCTTAATTGAAAAATAATGCTGTTGGAAGAAATGCACCAATAGACTTGCTCAACACAGGGTTGCCACCAACCTTCAATTTGTAAAAAAATGCAATGTCTGCAAAGTGCAATAAAGCCCAGCTCAATGAAACAAAGTATGCCTGTATACACACACACACACACACACACACACACACACACACACACACTAAACTGATGGTTCCTTTCTTTTTTACACAAAAGGTAGCATACTATGTTTTCTTCTGCAACTTGCATTTTTCACTTCAAAATATATTTTAAGAATCATGGCATGTCTATTGTTTTGGATTTTCTTTAAAAAAATGTTTTAACTGAAGTATATTGGACCTGCAACATTGTGAATTTAAGGTGTGCAACATGTTAATGTGATACATTTATATACCGTCACATGGTTCCCATTTTTAAAGAAGTCTTCCTTGTTCTCGTTTCATGGCCACATAGGCCTCCTTGGTGTGTGTGTTTCATGGTTCACTCCATCAGCCTTCAGTGCGTGGGCATTTCAGTTGCTCCTGATGGTGGTATTGTAAACCTCGTGCTGACCCACTGGCCAAAAAGTGATAATTAGGGAAGACGAAGAGCTGAGCACCCGTCTCACTCGGGCGTGCCCAGTCTCAGGATAAGCGGCGGTCCTGTTCTGAGTATTTGCATTCAGCCCCTAGACTGGGGTGGTATAGACCAGACTTGCGTGAGCAGAGCCATTGATATTCAGAAATGGTCAAAGAAAACATCCCTCGTAGGAACTTGGCATCTGGGTGTCATCACAGATAGGCTGCTGACTTGCCTACTTCGTTCCCTGGCCACTCTTTATGTACGTGGAACCTATACCTCCAGTGCGGAATGGCTTCTGTTAAGGTGTTTGCTTTTGTAGGCGGAGCTTACAGCGCTGAGACAGAAGCTAGAAAAGTCAGAGAGGTCTCGGAATGATCTGCGGCAGAACACAGACCTTCTGGAGAGCAAGGTAGCCCCATCCCTCCTGTGTGGGGTCCCTGTGCGGGGGGAGGTCTGCTGATGGAGAAGGTGATGAGGATGAGCCTGGCATTGTGCTAAGTGCCTTCGGGCCTCCTCAGAGTAACCCCGTGAAGTGCATGCTGTTACTGTCCTCGTTTTACAGAGGACGAAACTGAGGCTCTGGGATATTAGGTACCTTCCCCAGGCCACACAACCAGCAAGTATAGAGCTGAGATTCAAACCCATGTCATTTGGCCCCAAAGGGAAGAATTTCTTCAATAAGTCACAAAAGCACAAATCACAGGGGGAAAATGATCACTGGGACCCCAGTAAAGTAATCAACTTCTGATGGTCAGAGCATAAAATGGAGACACACCACATACTGGGAGATGAAATCTGCAACACATATAATTGATAAAGAGTAACCAGGATATGTAAAGAATTTCCTCAAATCAACTGGAAAAAAGGCAAACACTCCAGTTTAAAAAAATGGGCAAAAATTAGGAATTGGCAGTTCCCAGGAGCAAGAGTTCTGATGATCAGGAATTCAGATGGCCAATAAACTCGTGAAAAGATGAGCAACTAACTAGCAATCAGGAAATGTGAATTAACACAATAGGTGTCATTTCACGCTTCAGATGGGCAAAATTCAGAGGTCTGATGTAGCCAAGTGCTGGCAGGGGCGTAGCGGCAGGAGCTCATGCTGCTGGTGGGAGAGTAAATTGATCTCATGGCTCTTGAACAATCTAGCATTATCTCTGAAAGATGAAGCTGCCTGTACCCTGTGGCCCAGCAATTCCACTTCTAGGTACACATGCAGGAGAAGCTCTCTCACCTAAATGAAAAGACAAGAAGCTTATAGCAGCAACGTTTGTCATGTTGAAGAAATGTGAACACCCAAAAGGGAGTCTGTTGACAGAATGGATGAACACATTTTGTTACACTAAAAACTCAGTTGCCAAAGTGAAAATGGATAAAGAGGCAGCAAACTATGGCCCGCAGGGCAGATCCATGTCACCACCTGTTCTTTGTAGTTTTATGGGCACACGGCCACGCCCATTCATCTGTGCCTAGTCTGGCTGCTTTCGTGCTACAAAGGCAGAGTTGAGTAGTTGTGACAGACTGTGTGACCTGCAGAGATTAAAAATATTTACTATCTGGCTCTTTATAGAAGACGTTTCGTGACCCTTCAACCAGAGATACATGAACCAACATGGATTGCCCTCGAAAACAAAATGCTGAAGAAAAAGGATTAATTTACAAAAGAATGCCTAAAATATGTTACAGTACATATCAGGTTTTAAAATGTGCACAACAATACTATACAGTGATTGGGGAATATACCTAAGTAGTTATGGTGTAAAGATATTCATGGGAATAATAATGCCAGATTCTGCATAGTGGCCGACTCTGGGGGATGGAAGGGACACGTGACTGGGGAAGGTTGGGCTGGGGTGTGTGTGACTGCAGGCCGGGGTTTTCTCTCTTTGGCTGGGGATTGAGTTCGTGGGCTGGGGATGAAGACGTGAACCGGATGGCCCTGCCCCCAAGGAGACGATCTCAGATTACAGACCCCTACACGTCTTCATTCCGTATAATGTGGGGGCGCGGTCGGTGAGCTGTGGGGAGACCAGGAAAGAGCTCTCCAAGGAAAACTTGCCATCCCATTCAGCTCTCGGGCCCGGATGAGGGTGAGGAGAGGAAGGCGTGTGTCTGAGGCACAGAATTAAAAGGGGCACCAAAAAACTCAGCGAGATAAATAATATTTAATGCAGTATCTTTTAAGAGGTGAATTGAATGCAAAAAATCCAGGATTGGGCTTCCCTGGTGGCGCAGTGGTTGAGAGTCCGCCTGCCGACGATGCAGGGGACGTGGGTTTGTGCCCCGGTCCGGGAAGATCCCACGTGCCGCGGGGCGGCTGCGCCCGTGAGCCATGGCCGCTGAGCCTGCGCGTCCGGAGCCTGTGCTCCGCAACGGGAGAGGCCACAACAGTGAGAGGCCCGCGAACCGCAAAAAAAAAAAAAAAAAAGAAAGAAAGAAAAATCCAGGATGAGCAGAATATCAGAATTTTAAATAAATGCAGGGTTTACGGGCCAAGATTAGGGTGAGGCAAGTGACGAACGCTGCACAGTGGGATCCTGTCTTGATTCTTTATTTAAAAGTTTGATATTTTAGTCATCACAGATTTTTGGCATTAATTTTGATTTTCTTAGAGATTGCATTAACGTTTTTAGTTTATCTTGATTTCTGAGGTTTTCGGTGCTCCCTTCAATTTTGCACCCTAGTTGAATGCTTCGCTGCCTTTCTTCAGGAAGCCCTGGGTACCTCACAGGCTTCTGGTGGAGTTCAGGTGGAGCTTATTTATTCCCATGTTCATCACATACTGTGAGCATCTCCCGTGTGGCAGACATTCAACTGGACCGACCCCTTGGATACAGCCAGGGACAAAGCAAAGTCCCTGTCCTCACAAAGTCTCCAGGCCAATAGAGGGAGACAGATCACAAGTAAATAAACACGCAAACTAGTTTCAGTGGAGTGCTGCAGGTATTAAGCAGAGCAAGGTGACAGTGGAGGGAGGTCGAGTGGGGGCCAGTATTTCCTGAGTGGTCAGGGAAGACTTCTGTGGACTGAGATATTTGAATGTAGATCTGAACGATTTGCTGTACCCGTTTCTGTGCAGATCTGGAGGAAGGGTAGAAACAGCAAGTGCAAAGGTCCTAAAGCAACATGAGATAAAGCTCAGTCCAGAGCAAAGCTAGAGCGTTCTCTGCCGGCGAGGCTGTGATGTTGTCATTACTGGTAATATTGCTTGGTTTGGTTGGTGGCTAATGGGGACTGAAATTAGATTCACCATCAAGCCAACATAACTCAACCTTCGCTCTACGTTCGCAGCCTGAGTTGAGCCTCGCTGGCTCACGTGGGGCATGGAATGAAGTTGGGGTGGGGGGCTGTCTCTTTTCCACCCTTCTCATCCTCCCCGTGATTGTGTCCACTCTCCCCACCAAGGGTCCTCTGTCTGCTCAATCCACACCCACTCCCATGGTCAGGCAAGAGGCAGGGGCCCCTGGAAGGGAGAGTCACGTCTGCACACAGAGTTAGGAGAAGCTGGGCGGGCGGGGCTGCTGCGCCACGAGCCGGTGCCCCTCTTGTGGACGAGACTGTGAGGCGGAGACGAAATGACAACTGAGAGTGCCTTACGTTCTCCATCGAGGCTCCAGAGGGCCAGTGGTCTGACCTCTCTTGCCGGAAGTAGCCATGAGTAGAGCAGCAGAAGCAAAAAATCGGAGCTCTGTGGGCTGGTGGGGAATATCGGTGACTTCCCGGTAGAAATTCCTTCCCGCCGAGCTGACACTTGATGCAGTAATTCATCTCGAGCTGTCAGGTTGGACTTGGGAGTTTGCGATGTGTCAGCTGCTGGGGGAGACTTGGAGAGCATCTTTAGCATCTAGAGCTCCAGCTTACGGGACACTGGGAGGAGAGAGGGAGGGAGCCAGGCTTCTGAGACCGGAACCAAGCATAGACGTGTCAGCACCTACGGAATATTCTGTCCAGGCTCTTTTTGTCTTTGTATCACACACGGTTGAATGCATGGGGCCTTGAAAAAATAAGATAAAAATTTAAAGCTAAGAAAATCAGAGCAAAGGGAACTAAGAGCTGAGGAGTATACAAAACCAGGGAGAGTTCGAATATAGACGTTTACCATTGGCCTCAGACTCACTCTCACCCCACAGCCTTTGCCTGTGCTGTTCCCTCTGCCTGGAACAGTCCTCTCCACCCTCTTCACCTGGTAAATGTCTGGTCATCCCTTCTTACTGAGTTCAGGTGGTGCTTCCTCCAAGAAGCCTTCCTTGACCCTCTAAGGGTGGGTTAGGCCCCCACTATATTCTACCCCTGGCCCTGTGCTTCCTTCCCCTCACAGCATTGATCGGTGCAACCTAATCACCTCCTGTGTCCCAGCTAGACTGGGAGAACCCAAGGGCAGGGATGTGTCTTGCTCATCACGTCAGCCCGACCCCAGGTACAGAATAGACACAGGATGGGTGAGTGGAACCATTCAAAGTGGGCCGAAATTTTGACACTGAGCTTCCTAGCAACCAAAGCAAAGAGGAAAACAGGATATTCCATAGACATGTTGTGCCTAGGTTAAACACACACACACGCACACACACACCTGTTGCTTGAGAAAAAAGTAACTTTTCAGGGTATTGAGATAATCTAGATATTAGAGAAGTTTCTCTCATGAATCCTCATTAAAAGGGCACCAAGGGCACTATTCACACAGTAAATACAAGAGGGGTCTGTAGGAATGCTTTTGGTAGCATCTCCTTGAAATGCAAGCCAAGGGTGTGATGCCAGTGCCATAAAGAGAATTCAGCCAGGAGTCAAAGCAGCGCTTTATCCAGGAAGCACATTTAGATGACTGAGTGTTAGGATTTCTTCCTCTTCCTTCTCAGACCCCCCTTTCTGCCACCTCTTCTTCCTCCTGTTTCTCCTTTCCTCCTGCCTTTTAGACTTAGGTTAAGGTCCAACATACAAAAAAGTGCCCACATCTTAAGTGTACAGCTTAATGAATTTTCACAAAGTGGACACACCAATGCAGCCAGCACCCAGAGTGTGACACAGGTCACTCCCAGCTTCCCTCAGCTTCCCCCCCGGTGCCCCCTTTCAGCCACTACCCTCCACCCGTAACCACCAAACTGACTTCTGATGCTATAGATTAGTTTTCTCCCTCTTTCTGCACTTTACCTAAATTCATCAAAGATGCCTACTCATTTGTGTCTGGTTTCTTTCATTTGACATCATTTGTGACATTCATCCACCTTGTCATGGGTGATGGTGGATCACTCCCTCCCTTTGCTGTAGAGTAGTCCATTATGCACAGAGACCACTCTGTATCCCTTCTACTCTAAAGGAACATTCAGTTGTTTCTCTTTTTCAACTATAAAGAGCAAGCCTGCTGTGAACATCCTCACACGTGTCTTTTGGTGCACAGGTCATACACTTCTGTTA